CTGAACCACCTCGTTTCCCTCACGATGTCCGGTGTCACGACCTGCCTTAGGTTCCCTGGTCAGCTGAACGCTGACCTTAGGAAGCTCGCGGTGAACATGGTACCCTTCCCCCGTCTGCACTTCTTTATGCCCGGTTTCGCGCCTCTCACATCCCGTGGCAGCCAGCAGTACAGAGCTCTCTCCGTGCCCGAACTTACCCAGCAGATGTTCGACGCAAAGAACATGATGGCCGCGTGCGACCCCAGGCACGGCAGGTATCTCACAGTCGCTGCCATCTTCCGCGGCAGAATGTCGATGAAGGAGGTTGACGAGCAGATGCTCAATATCCAGAACAAGAACAGCTCGTACTTCGTGGAATGGATCCCAAACAATGTAAAGACCGCCGTCTGCGACATTCCGCCACGTGGTCTCAAGATGTCCGCTACGTTCATCGGCAACTCCACCGCCATTCAGGAGTTGTTCAAGCGCATCTCCGAGCAGTTCACCGCTATGTTCAGGAGAAAGGCTTTCCTTCACTGGTACACCGGCGAAGGTATGGACGAAATGGAGTTCACCGAGGCCGAATCCAACATGAACGACCTGGTGTCGGAATATCAGCAGTATCAGGAGGCTACCGCGGACGAGGACGCAGAATTCGACGAGGAGCAGGAAGCCGAGGTCGACGAGAATTAGAGAAAATAGACAACACCCGACGGAAACTACCGTTCTATTTCTCCTCTCTCGACCGAGCGATAACGCAACACGACACACAACCCTTCACCCAGCTTCTTAACTCTACGTTATCTCTCTTTTTGTATCTATTTTTTACAGACTTCGGTTCCGAATTTTTGTGGAGCGCGCGCGCTTTTCGTTGCCCTTGCGATGATGATAATACCGCGCTTTGCGTGGTAAATTCGAAACATGATTTATTATTTTCATGTATTTTTCTATAGTATACTTTACTTTCGATTACTAATTCACGCGCGCCCTTACCATTCAATGTATAACCGCTCAAAAGCGGTCGCTCTATCCATATTTGAATAAATTATTATCATATAAATCATGTCGTCTCGCACTACTCCCTGATTATTATACGGACCTAGACTTCTTAGCGCTATTGAGTTTTGTACTTTCAGAGACTTCGTATATATTTATATTCGTCTGTTATCATACGCAGTTTTATACCATGGCAAATAGATGTGAATAAAAACCCATGAAGTGTACGATGTGAGAGTATTGATCTTAAATATTCAGTTATTCGATGTGTAAAGCAAGAATTTTAAATTTACCCGAAATAAGTCATATAATGACTTATAAAATGTCATAAAATGACCATATAATTACTGAAATGGTCATATAATGACCACATAATTACGTTCTCAATTAATGGAGTGTCGGTCACGTTTATCATGATATATGTATGAGTAACTACCTAAAAATTAATATAGCAAAGAGAAAGAACTGCAATATTTTTTACTTAACGTTTACTAGATTAATTTAAACGCCAATTATAATTCTGGGTAAGATAATTTTGGAACTTTTATAAATTTCTATTCACAAGAATACATTGACCGACATATAGCTTTAAATTAAGAATACGTTAGTATCACATAAATATTCACTAGTGCATCCATCTATTTGACATACATTCCCTTATGAAGCGAAATGTTACCGGTACTTGTAGGATAGTAGCTTACAGTCCGTTATCAGTAGCTGTAAAATTGAAAACACCGATAGAATCTTACCAACAGAAGTTACTTAGCACATATGAATTTCACAGGAGAAACGGTAATATTATCATCGTTTCATATTTCCGTTTCCTGACAGATATTTACAGAATCGTATAAAAATAACAGGAATGTCTAATTATTTTTTTCCGGCCTTGCAAACGTAATACAAATAAAAGTGAGCACGCACGCATCAATTGTACGTATCATAGTGTATAATAGATATCGCGCAAGTTGAGTTTCGTTATTCCTACAATCACGAAGGTCTACCGATATTCGGAGAACGTAATATTTTGTATCCGCGCTGCGATAATGACGTTGTAATGTAGCGTAGTTATGAAGGAATGTCGAGAACATCGCGCTGACTAACTCTGAGTTAACGGATTAATGAGATACAGTTAAACCGACGGAATCAGATCGGCGCGGTACACGTTTCGGTCTCGCGCGATCGATACATGCTTCGTGGAACGAATGCATCGTTAGGAGCTACATTACATTATTGCATTTTGTGTTAGAACGGCCGGCCGACACGCAAGAAGATCGAGTCGACGCGTTCGAAATAACTGGCCGCGTGCGACTTCCGGTTGAGAAGCAGCGAAATCCTCCTTCGCCACCTCTACTCGAGGTTATTACCTTATCTTGTTCCTTTAATTTAGCAATTAGCGCTCACGTTTGATCCATCTGATATTTTTCTCCCGCCAACGATCATCAGAGAGATCCCTTAATTCGACCGTCCCATAATCACAGTTTCTTAAACTGTGTATAAATGTAATTGGGGATTTTTTAATTGAGACGGTGGCGCAAAAGAGAACATGGAAGCAGAGGCATATTTAAAGAGTGTTCATTAGTAATAGTGTGTCTTCTAATTAATTCCAGTCCTACATAAAATAAAATAAAATTTCCATAAAAAATTGAACTCTTATTGGACTATGTGTATTTAAAAGTGAATAATGTATATTACTGATTACAATGATTCGTTAAAATTAATATATTATATAGTAAACCAATGATTAAGTGAGACTCTCGGGTTTACAATCATGAAAGACCAAGTCAATAAGAACAAAAGCAAAAGAGTGTTTAATTGCAAAATAATTTTAATAAATAACACTTCTAATATTGTCGTGAAAATGTTGATGATAAATGTTTTCATCTTAATTTATTTCTTCTCCCTTCAGCATAGATTTGACGCATGTTTCGAGTTAACATAGTTTGGGTTTAATATTAGTAGCGACCGTTTAGTATGCGGTTTTTTTTTTTTATATCGGGATGCGGTTTTTGTCACTCGCCTTTGACAAAGCGCAGACGACGACCTGAGTACAGCAGATATGACTCATTGCTTGGCTGTATGTCGACCGTCTCGCTTTACGAATTCCACTCATCGTCAAGCGCCGCACGCAATGCCAAATACACGTCGGACGTAATTAGCTTATTAAAGAATAAAGAATAAAATTCGTCGCTCGTCTGACCGCGTGGAATGCTGATTTTTTTACAGTCGACTTTTTTACGTGTCTCTTTCTGAGACATTTATATATGTGTGTGTGTGTGTGTGTGTGTGTGTGTGTGTGTGTGATTTAAATAATTTGATGAAAATTGTTTTTTTATTTTGCTTTCTTTTTTTAAAGAGTTTTCTACTCGAGCAATTCCGTCGTTAAGTAATTGTTGCGCTCAGGAAAATGCAGGTTTAATCTTATGAGCATTACAAGGGTATGCGGGTTAACATTAGATAAAAGGTGATAACGGTGACTGAAATAGCTGTATTATAATAACTATTGAATACACAATACACAATACAAGCTATTTCCGCTCGGAAACAAACCAGCAATGTGACTATACGATTGTTTTAATTCTATGTTGACGGATTCAGCATTTCCATGAATTTCGCGATTTCAATTCAGGCAACCACCGTCATGATCAAACTTCTTTCCTCCCGAGTAAATGACCGCGCTTCGTGGTGGATATTGACGGGAGGTGAAGAAAAGACAATAATAGAAGGAAGCTTTTTCCAACAGCGGGAGATCTTGCAGGAACTCGCACAGCTGGAGACGAACCGCAACTATCGTCACGATTATTATCATTTTTGATGATAGCGACGGCGACGACCAAGGAAAACGAAATGCCGCTTTCAGGATGAGTCACGAGATAAAGAGTTTCAATATCTTTACACCGGGGCCACTGTACTTTTACAATATTCTACGCGCGACACCCCGGTCTAAGAATTCACGATATGCATTCGCACGAACTCGAACGTGCCGTAACAAATCGTACGATTCTTCTCGTACACTGCAATTTGAAATGATTAACTATTATGTTGAGGCTTTAACATAAATATTTTATGTTTACATATGAAAAATTATGTGAAATATTGTAGCGAGACGTACCTCTATTTAATTATTATATAAAATAGTATAAAAAAATATTGTATAAAAAAACATTTCAAATATATTAGACCAATTAAAAGAACCAATTAAGAGAGTTTTTCATTTTATCATTTTTCGCAGTTGCACAAATTTGTTGCAGAAAAATTAAAATTACTTTTCTAACGATTCTTTATGTGAAACGGTAAAACTGTAAAATGATAAAGAAGAAAGTTATATTAATCTCATTTATCTCACGTTGCTCCACAATTTAACACGTTGGTCGTAACCACGACGGATATTAACAGCATGCATGTGTGGCCCAGAATGCACATGACCGAAACGCATCCGTTGAATGTGATACCTTCGCCTGCAGGTATTGAAGCAGGAAAAAAAGGAAGCACTTTCCAAAAAAAGTCCCGTCTCTTGTTACAGTTCCGGTGAATGCACTCCGAGGTAATCCGATAGAAAATAATTGTGCGGCCGTATTGAATCATATTTTACTCCGACACGCACAAGAGTTACGATTAATTCGCGACGAATCGATACACGCGGCGGAAATTAATATGCGCCACTCGTAAAATTAATTTTGCGCTTGCAACAATCAACAGATGTCAGCGTCGCTGATAAGAAGAGAAATGATCATCCACAGAGGATGTTTGCGCAAAAAAATTTACAGGGAGGATGAGAAAAAACTAAACCGGGAGCGTGCACTCAAAAATACAACCGTATCGCCGGTTCACACCCCTTTCGGAAACACCCCGACACGAAGTACGATTCCGTTGTTTTTCCTCCCCGTTACTCCCGTGTCGCTTATCACCCGTCCTTCCGTCCATCCGCCCCCCTTTCTGCTTTTCTGCCCGTCGCGACGACGGATTCCTCCCCCCTCTTCCCTCTTCCTCCTCTCCTAGGTCTACCCCATCGTCCTCCACAGAGTCCACAGCCTCGAGCTTCCAGAGAGTGGAGCTCAGGACACCGACACGTTTCCCTCGTCAGTTGTTCACGCTCGTCATCATTCGTAGGCTCGACTCCGTTCGCAGGCGCGACGGCCCGCTGCACTTCTCCTCGGTTGCACTTAGCTGCACACGCTCCGCACTCCGTTCCGACACGCCGAGCGCGCACGCACAGGCGGATCGACCCACGTACACGAGCCCGAGGAACGGACCCAGGACCTAGGAGGATAAAGAGAGAGTGAGAGATCAGCTGTTCCCTCGCGACGTACGCCGTTTTGAAAGAAAAACAAGATGAGGGAGATCGTGCATCTGCAGGCAGGACAATGCGGCAACCAGATCGGTGCGAAGGTAGGTCCACGACCTAAGCTCTAAAGAAGCATCTCTTTCCCCTCGAGCGTGCGAAGTTGAGTCTATGTCGAGCGTAACGAAGTCGCGCGAGCCGTGTGTCATATAACTGCGGATTCTACAGCAGGTTGGAGATTAATTTTTCCGTGGTCAATGTTTAACGGGAGAAAATCCGTTGTGTCGAGGAAGAAGATGACGGATTCCTTCCTTCTTGATTCTTGAGGGCGGTTCACACAAAGTTCTTTGAGGAATGACAAGACGCGTTTCGGTCGATCAAAATCTACGACAAGTTTGAAGCTGATCATTTCCTAATTTTCAGTTAGCTTTATTAATATTCAATTATTCCATCCATGGAGTTACAATATACCGTCAAATTATAGCTTATAACTGCTAATAACTTCAGGGTCCAACAGTTTCTGCATCAAAAGTCAGGACTGTGAATGAAAGCCGAGGTTCATTGGCGCGCGTCCGACTGGGTGTGGAGCGTTGCAAAAGCGTCGATGAGACGAGAATAATTTATCTGTTTGCAAAGATACGCGCGACCGGAAATTAGCTGTAAAACCGTGGTTTATGTCGCGTTAAGACAACGGGTCGTCAATTCAGGGGAGAACAAACCGAGTATTATGACTCAGCGTCTTCGGAGTATCGATCCTAGTTTACTAGACGTGGTTTCCAGAAAAGTTGCGCCCTTCAAGTCTTCTTGTGGCTATACTGTGTTACTGTGTTCGAAAACATTCGTCTAAACTTTCACAGATAGCTGAGAATAATTGATTGATGAGTGGAAACTTCCTACAGATCTGTCCTACAGTTCCTCCAACCGAATTTTCCATCTAATCCTCAAGTAACAGAAAATTCAGTTACACTAACCAAGTTGTTTTTCTCCGTGTAGATATCGTGATGCGATATTTTACGATTCAATTAGAATAACATCCAGCTAAAATTCATCAAAGAATAAAGATTCGTTATTCATATGTATTTTTGAAGCACAATTTGCAATAACCCTTTGTTGAGAAAAATATTTCAGTCATTAACGGGAAACATTGTATCGGCGCACCGAATACTCATTTTACCGAACACTAGATGCTATTTTGATCGCAGAAATTACTACAATTACGATATGTTTTTGTAACAATCAGATATGATTAGCAAAATATTACGAAACATTGTTCTGATCTCTGAGCGATCTTGTAAATTTCCCCTCTCTCTCCCTTTCTTTCTCTTTCGGCTATATCGGTACCTCCGATGGAGATTGGTCTGAGTGGTAATCGTCGGGAGCAAGCATTATGTTATATCTACAAAAAAACCACGATACAACCTTTCTCGGTAGTATCGTCTGACCACGGCTATAATCGACTCGAAGATAAGGCGGCGCGCAACGAGATGGAATTTAAAGTCTTTCCGCTGCGTTCGCGCTTCACTATTGAGAGAAGCCCCCCCTCCCTCTCCCTTCTATTTCGTGCAGCCAAAGTGCGTAAAGTGATCCAAGTTTTAATCGCGCTGGCATTCGCGGGAAACAGGGGCAGGAAACGACGCTCGCGTACTCTCAGAGAGAGAGCACTTAAAATTCTGCAGTAATCGTCACTACCATTCAATGGCGTGAAAACGCGTGGACGTACGAAGAGCCGGTCCAGAATCCATTTTTCAAGATTGATTAGTTGTCTAAGAAAGCAAATAATTCAATCTTCATAAATCCTCTACAAACAAAATGCATTTTGATGTACAATTACAAGCTCATTTTAAACAGAGTGAATTAAGTGAAAAAAAAATATCGCTGATATATAATTGAAAATTTCCAGTTGTTAATTATTTGTTGTTTGTTTCTTCTAAGTAAGATTGTTATTGATGCACGGCGAGAAACTAAAATTATCGTGCGAGAAGCACTTCAGATTCGCTAATCTCATTGATCCTGTTCATTGGCGTGACAACTTGGGGGCTTACGATACACTCGATTATTTTTGTTGTACCAAACGATATAAAAAAAATTTGACGTTTCTTTCTTATATATGTATGAAGTCAGATATTTTATATTCTCCTGATTATTTTTCTTATATATTTTAATATGTGCTCTTTGCTTATCATTTTAAAGAAAAGAATATCTTGTACAATATTATCACGCATTTTCTTATATCATTGTCAAAATTTTTACGATATTTTAATATAACTTTAATGAATATTGTGTTAACCCGATTGCTCGATTCAAGAATTGTGATGATTCAATGCTCCAAAGGTAAACTTCTCGCTTTATCAATATTTACCTTTGATAAACGGGACTTTATCGCGTTTCCGTATAACTTTTATGGAATTAGAACTTTTTTTTCATTTGATATTGCTCATCGAGCAATGACGCACGCTAGATGACGGACTAAAATACAGAGTACCTAGTGAGTCATTTTCACAAAACAAATTAAAGATCAAATAGATTTGGTAGTGTGTGTGTGTGTGTGAAACAATAAGAAAAAATATAATGTGGTGTGTGTGTGTGAAACAATAAGAAAAAATATAATCGAATAACAGTAATATACTAAATCAATGAAATATCGTGTTCAACTTATTTCAATCAGTGTTTATTCACTAGTTAATTAAAAAAACATCACGATATAAGATGTATTTGCTTTTCTTATTAATTGCGCTATTACGCAAATGAGTCTCTATGGCGATCTGTATGCACCTATGATATATAAATCTTTTTATTTCTGAAGATTTATAAATAAATAACTTTGGATGAAGATGCATACGTGAAGAAAATGTATTTTATTCATTCAAGCCAATCGACCCGTCGATTCTGTTTTTGCAATTGAGTTGCGTTACTCCTGTCGATTCAGAAAGTGGTGCGCTCGAACGATCGTCTCTTCCTTGAAAAGGATCGTCCCTTCACTCCATCCTAGATGCAATTCCCAGAGCGGCATTGTTTTCCGCTTGAAAGAATTTAACGATCGTAGGAAACAGAAATGATGCCTCCGTGGAATTACAGACAATTGTGATCTACGCGATCTTACGATGATGCTTCTCGGTCGATTGGAACAGTTGTGAGAAATCCGCGAAAGTCAGCGCGCAAAGAAGCACACGGTAAATTGGCTGAACATGTTGCAGTAACTCGACTACAGTTTCGCATTCTATTCGTTCCCAGTCTGTAACACACCGGTAAGGTTCTTAAAAAGCCTATTTAAATTTAAAATCTTCTTGTAAGTAAAGTAATGCATAATTTCACTTTGTAAAGATCTTAGATTTAATTTTTTTACAACGCAGATAAATCCACTAGAGAACGCGATATATATATATATATATATATATATATATATATATATATTGCTTATTGAAAGCTTAGCGGTTTTTGTTCTGTCAAAAATTAATTTAGAATTTAATTTAGTTTCAAATTTAATTTTTTCCCGACTATATTTAACAAGCGCAACTACTGCTCAATTATGATGAGTGAGATCGAGGGAAATTATTTCCTGCTTCCTGTGATTTGCGCAATAACGAGCGCGATGCGAACGTCGCGTACGCGAGCGCACGGCGAAGATGCATTTAGAATAATCGGAGGGTCGCGTTTCGGCGAGGCGAGGCCATGGCGACCGGCACACTGGCTCGCTATTAATAGGAGGAGAAAATAGTAAAGACAAGACAAATGGAGAGAGGAGAAATGTTTAACGGGAGGGTGGACATGAGCCAGGGGGCACAGGCCGCGTTAATTCCGTGCGTCTCTATTTTTGGATGTCGCGCGCGTGTTATCCTTGTCCCCGGCCTAAGGCTGTCGTTGCGTTTGGGGCAACGCCACCACGGATCGGAGGGAAGTCGCCCTTCGCTCGACACCTCGAGTGGCTTTAAGCGCAACGAAAATTCCGGCGGAATAAACCCCGGCGACGGGGGCTATGTTTGGAAAATGATTAAGGAAAGATGTCCGCTATTTTTACGCCGAGCTATTAAACACACGCCCTCGCTCGCTGCGCTATCGCTAAATCAAATCTTTAATGACGATATGAAGATACGAGAGAGGCTCCGAGAGCGGTTGATTTATATAGCGTAATGTTAACGAATCACGTTGCAGTTCTGGGAAGTTATTTCCGAGGAGCACGGCATCGACCAGTCGGGCATTTATCATGGAGACAGCGATCTGCAGCTCGAGCGAATCTCCGTATATTACAATGAAGCATCTGGTAAGGGCATGTTAAACATTATGGCCTCGCGTGCTCTCCCTCCTTGAATATAAGTGGAATGCAATCCGCTTGGAACTCAGGCCGTCGCTAAAATTTATTATATATCGTATCACAACACACTCGCTTATGTTCACAGTGAGTCACTGATGGATTTTGAGGAAAAAATCTCTCCTTCGTATTGTGACTCGTGTAACTTGCTTTTGAATGATTCAGGCTCGATACCAAATTTAACGAGAGGCTTGCTATGTTGTAAATCAGGCAATATCACACTGATACATCGTATCATTATCTTTGTACGATAATCTTCTCACGTGCATACACATAGTGACACACATTATTGTTAATGGAAATCAGGTTACTCGATGCACCTGACTCCTCGGTGAAAGGACGTGCGCGAGAATGAGTGCAGTCTTAAAAGTAGAAACGCCAAGAATGACGGAGAAGTTCGACACTCGTGTCTTAACGTCTGACACTCAGCACATTCGATAATAACAATCGATAGAAGAAATGAAATCAGATTTCGCGATGCGCGGCAGAGAGAGATCTTTTCGAGTGACGAGCGTTCGCGGCGAATTCTCCCGACACGCGTCGAAAATAGCAGCAACGAGAAAGGTAGAAAAGCGCGCTGTCCCGCGCCGATACTCGGCGCGATGGAGAAAAGGAACGTCGGGACATGCATTTAGGCCAAAAATAACCGCTTTGTATGTTCGGATGTTAGAGTTGCACACCGCGACACAGTCAGGCCCCAGAAATTGTCATGCGTTTTCGTTCGTGCCGTAGAAATGGAGTTATTTCCAGGAATGTAACGCGCGACGCGCGTGTTCCGCGCTAGAAACAATTTAGTTAACGAATCGCTGAAACTCACGTACCGACAACGCAAATGAGTTGTTAAAAATAGATTACAGCACACGAGGCAGATTTACATTGACTTACTTCCCGTGGTTTATCTTCACTGCGTTTTTCATTTTTATTTTAAATTGTTAGGTTTTTATTGATGCACGTCCTAATGATGATATTAGCTCGTTTAGCACTAACGATAAATACGTTTTATCCCTCACTAAACGCGATTATATTGGCCTGTGTTAAAATTAATACCTTCACCACTGCGGTGTTACTCGATTATCTTTCATTATCGCACAACGTTAGTGTCCACATTATTCCGACTGTTGAGGTAGCGCTACTCATTTGCAAACGACGCAGGCACGCGGTTTCAACCGTATACGCATTTCCGTCGACCATTAAAGTCGATACGAGTTTTCGGTGGAATGACAATAGCGGCCGATTTAATATGGACGCATCGACGCCGTATCTTCCGCGTGTCGCGGCAACTATTGAATACAATCGTTCTTATTGGCGATACTCGAGAATACGCTTCACGTTGGAAGCACCTTCCTCATACGTTTCCACCTAATACAGCCTCGTTATATAAATTGCTTTTTCAAGGACTCTGAATATTGCTAGATGTCTTTTGGATTTTTCTGCTTCTCAGGATGCCTGAATAAGTAAGACACGAATTAATGAATTCTTGAATTCCGTCCTTCTGCGTTCCAGTCGCGACATCCACGAACGGGGGAAAATATGTGCCGCGCGCAATCTTACTGGACTTGGAGCCCGGAACGATGGACGCCGTTCGTTCCGGCGCTTACGGGAAACTCTTTCGACCGGACAACTTCGTGTTCGGGCAATCCGGTGCTGGCAATAACTGGGCGAAGGGTCATTACACCGAGGGCGCCGAGTTGGTAGATTCCGTTCTCGACGTGGTGAGGAAGGAGTGCGAGAACTGCGACTGCCTTCAGGGTTTCCAGCTAACTCACTCTCTAGGAGGTGGTACTGGGTCTGGGATGGGCACCTTGCTGATCTCTAAGATTCGTGAGGAATATCCTGACCGAATCATGAATACTTACTCGGTGATGCCGTCACCCAAAGTGTCCGACACAGTGGTGGAACCCTACAATGCAACGCTGTCGGTGCATCAATTAGTGGAGAACACTGATGAAACCTATTGCATCGATAACGAGGCCTTATATGACATCTGTTTCCGCACATTGAAGGTTTCCAATCCGAGCTACGGCGATCTCAATCACCTGGTCTCGCTCACTATGTCCGGAGTAACCACTTGCCTCAGGTTGGTGCGAAAAGCAATAAGCAGACATGTAGAAGAATAAATTTCATAAATCAAACAATCCTCATATATTTTTAATTTATGCTTAAATATCTTCATACATTTATTCGTAAAATATCTTCATGATAAGAATGATAAATACTAATAAATATTTCATTGATTAATTTTGCAATCATTAGTTAATTTGGTAGTCTTGTGAATCCTTGCAAGTTTACTTACGAACGTAGAGGAAATTAACGCTTTCAAATAAACTTTTTTAGGTTCCCCGGCCAGCTGAACGCCGACTTACGGAAGCTCGCAGTGAACATGGTGCCTTTCCCACGTCTGCACTTCTTTATGCCAGGTTTCGCGCCTCTTACGTCCAGGTCCATGCAACAGTACTCTGCACTTTCCGTGCCGGAGCTCACTCAGCAAATGTTCGACGCGAAAAATATGATGGCGGCCTGCGATCCTCGCCATGGCCGGTATCTCACTGTGGCGGCGGTCTTCCGCGGTAGGATGTCCATGAAGGAGGTCGACGAGCAAATGCTGAGCGTGCAAAACAAGAACAGCTCGTATTTCGTCGAGTGGATACCGAACAACGTGAAGACGGCGGTCTGCGACATCCCGCCGAAGGGGCTGAAAATGTCGTCGACTTTCATCGGCAACACCACCGCTATTCAGGAGCTGTTCAAGAGGATCTCCGAACAGTTCACGGCGATGTTCAGGAGGAAGGCCTTCCTGCATTGGTATACCGGTGAAGGTATGGACGAGATGGAATTCACCGAGGCAGAATCGAACATGAATGATTTGGTGTCCGAATACCAGCAATATCAGGAAGCCACGGCGGAGGAGGACTTCGAAACGGAGGAGTGCGCCGACGATTTCGAGACCTGCGAGCAAGAATGAGGTGACTGAAGTCAACGCGACGTTTCCTTCTTCTGGGTTTACCTTCAGCTTCTCTGTCCGTCATCGTAAGATCCCACGATCGACCGTGTGCTCTCGAGGAGCAGTCTTTTGATACTTTTATATACGATGCACTTTGTAATCGAGGCGACGAATGTAATATAGGCGATCGAGATCACTTTCTAACGAATTGTGATACTGAAGTGTTTTGGTAAAGAATATATTTAGGAAGAGAGAGAGAGAGAGAGAGAGAGAGAGAGAGAGAGAGAGAGAGAGAGAGACGAACATTTGACAGCAATTGCAACAATTGCGAATGACAACATGAAGTACATAATTAAAATGTGGCGAGACTTCCGTCTCTCGTTGACCTCAGATATGCTTATATTACATTCGGCTTCACTAGTGATAATTATATGAATCTTGATATGTCACTTGGATGAATGTGGCATGGAATGGATTGCAATAAAAATTCTTGAAAAATCACGCTTTCGTTGTACTTTTAGCATAAATCTCAAAGCGATAAAGTATCAAATTACAGGGATTAAAATTTTGAGGATAAATTCTTTCCCCCGTTATTCCTTCTAATAGAACAACATGTCATCTCTTAGTAACGATCTAAGTAGTAAAAAATGCTTGATTTCACTTGGAAGTATTCTTAAAATTATTAGGAAATCATGTATAATACAATTAACAATTCACATAGTTTCGTTATTTTTTGGCCTAATATGCTTAAAATATCAGTTTTAATATTTATATAATCTTCTCTCATGCTTCTTCCTATCATATAGTTTGTCGTTTGTGCGCCTCTATTGTACGAATTTTTCGCTTTTGTTAGAATTCTCTTGATACTGTTGATATTCGGAGATTAGGGAGTACAGTTTGTCATGAGCTTCCGTGAATTCAGACTCCTCCATACCTTCATTGATATACCAATGAAGATATGCCCTTTTTGTAAATAAACTCTGAAAGAGGTCGGACAGCCTTTTAAGCGGCTCACAAATCGCGGTTGTGTTTGATAACGAAGTTGCACACATGCTCACATCACGCGGCGGTACGTCGCATATAGCAGTTTTGATGTTGTGTGGAATCCAACCGACAAAATATTTGCTGTTCTTGTTTTGTATATTGTACATTTGCTCGCCCACGTGCTGAAACAAAAAATTAAATTTTGTTAGTAAGGCAAAACACTAGAAGACGAATCCTTTCTCGCACTGTTTTCTAGCATATTTCTTCACTCAATGCAGTAAAAATTGTGAAAGATTGTCGAATATTTCAAAAATATCTCAGTCATTATGCAATCAAACTTATAAACACCTTGGGAGATATTCTGCCTCGGAAGATTGCGGCAGCAGTGAGGAATCGTCCCTTTCTGGGATCACAATCGGCAAACATACTGTTAACACTGAACATCTGTTGTGTCAGTTTTTGAACCGAGAGAAGACTGTAAGGAACTGATCTACCTGCTGTTAAAGGCACGTATCCAGGCACGAAGAAATGCAGCCGTGGAAACGGCACCATGTTCACCAAAAGCTTCTTGAGGTCCGTATTTAACTGTCCTGGGAATCTAAATAAGGAATAACGTAAGAAAAAAAATTGCTTAGAATATAAAAGTTTCTGCAGTTTTTCGAAAATGTCTATCTTACACGAAAAATGCGTAATTACTATCAACATCTACAATTGAAAAAAGCTCAAACGTTGTATTTTGTATTCAAATGCCTGAATTCTCCTGCAAACCTCAAACATGTGGTGATGCCCGACATGCAGATTGAGATTAAATAATTCATGTCGTCATGAGTCGGCGAGAGGAGTCTCAAGACACTATTGCAAATATAATAGAGAGCTTCGTTATCCATATAGAAGACTTGATGGATGCATTCGATCAGGTGATTAATCGATAACACCGCGTTGTAAGGCTCCACTACGATGTCCGACTTCTTCGACGATGGCATTACGATGTAAGATTTCAACACTCTGTCGGGGTACTCGTCGATTATATTCTGAGCGAGTAAACTGCCCATGCCTGACCCGGTGCCACCGCCCAGAGCGTGCACGATCTGTATACCTTTGTTAATGATGATCATTAATCCCTTTTGAAACAAGCTTCGGGAAAAATCTTGTTTCAAGAACATAACGAAAGCATATAAGACAAATTAGAATCAGAATAATAGCTCTAAAAGTACAAATAATATCAAGCAATTTAATATAAAAAAAATTTGTAATAATAATAATAATATAATTTATGGTAAAGGAAATGAGAAAGGCTCTGACGAATTAAAATCAATATGAAAAAGAGCCTATAAAAGCCAAATGCAAATGACGTAGTGTTATAAACAATTAAATTTATCTATATTTACATAAATCGATGTTAATTAATTGTACTAATATTGTTAATATCACATTATTTCAGCTAGGTTGATAGGCCCTACTTCATACTAATTATAATTAATAATCTCTCTTTTAAATTCTAATTTCTCTTTTAAACATTATGTAGATAAAATAGCCGCTTTGACGCCACACAAACGATAACATTGTTGGCCATTGCAGCGTTGAAGCAACGTCATATTCCTCACGGAGTCTGCTGAACTTTTAACCTTGGATTAAATCGCAGCTCTCGGCTTCCGTTCGCACGAGCTCCAAGGTCAAGTCCGCGAGCTCCGCTCCTTCGGTGTAATGACCCTTGGCCCAATTGTTGCCAGCCCCGTTTGTCCCGACCACGACATTGTCGGGCTTAAATAGGTTGCCGTACGGTCCAGATAACACGGGTTCCAAGCCTTTGCGGTCGAGGTCAACGAGAATAGCCCTGGGCACGTATCTCTCAGCTGAAAAAAACGATTGCCGATGATATCGCCTGACGGGATAATCGTCGTATCGTTTCGCGTCGATTGCCTTTAATTATATCGTTATTACAGTCATTGTGACGGAAACAGTCATGCATGCCGTATTACAAAGAAATACTTAATGTTCGCGATTAACGTTGTGCAACGCTTGTGAGAGAGCATGATCCGACAAAAACGTAATTGTATTATTAAAGATTGATACCTGCATTTTCTGCAAAATATACGTTAATGCGTTGCAATTGAAGATCTGACTCCCCGACGAATCTGCCAACTGGATTCAACCCGTGCTCGTCTGAAATTACTTCCCAAAACTATGAATCAAATTTAAAATGACAGTTTTTATGCAAGGACTACTTTATAATTTGTTCTACTGTCAAAATACATCTAACCAAGAGATTATCTAAATATTTTAAAAATAATTATTGGTTTACATACAACTAAAATATTATGTGGAAAACATATATATTATATATCTATATTAGAATAAAAATTATCTTTTCATAGTACAATACAGGTTACCTTTTTTCCAATATTGTTACCGCATTGTCCCAATTGTATGTGCACAATTTCCCTCATTTCGATTTCAATTGATAATTTTGAACTTCAATTACAAGAAAAAAAATTAACAAAATTCTTTAATTTAATCAATTACATGTTTCTATATTTTGTTCTGCTCATCTTACGACAATTTACAACACATCCAACCTGAACTTAGCATCGTGTAAAATGAACGATACAATATATATCTCGATAACTCTGTACTTGCTGTGCCTGGCATATGTGTTCTTAATTATCTATGCAAAATGATTAATAGTTCATTAGATTTATTCTTTTGCACAGTTATACTTTACCGTTCTTTCAAATATCTTCCTCACATCGCTGATGTTATATGGTCACGTCACGGTGTACTCCGGTGTGTTCCTGTCACACGTCTTTTCGTCCAATCACAACGCGTAACTATTCGCGAATTTCACCTTCCTTCTATTCAAACAAGATATATCGGGAATCTTCGTGAAATTTTTCATATTTTTTGCGATTTGCGTAATTGCAAAACGCGTTTTTGCGTCAGTTACTCGCGGCTATGTTCCGTAAAAACGGCGACGGATAATGTATTAAAGTTGACACGCGCGAATGCACCGAGCCAAGTGTCTTCGCTAGTGTGGCCCGACGCAGCTCGTGCAATAACACGCGTTCTCCGTTGTTCGCTACGATTGCACGTGATAATAAAGTGTTTGCCCTCGGGGCACCGATGAGATAATGCGCGATCGCTAATTTTTGCCGAGGCCTTGGCTTCATCAATGTCAGTTGGCTAGAAGGACGATAACGAGTTCGATAGCGAGAGCCGCGTCTAAACGCCTGCGATTACTAGTCTTATTTAAGAGGTGCGCATATTTATATGTCACAGCACGGACGATGCCATTAACTGATACAGATGTGCTATTAATGCGACAAAGAGTGCAACTCGTGAATGTAATTCGTGAATATTGGGAAAAATCGCTCCGAAGAAGTTCATTAATTAATGTCACGACTGCCGACTTCAAACTCGAAGATTAATCCGACTTATTTTGATGTGTTGTTTATTAGAAATTTCATAAAAGCTACGAACACTATAAGTGGTCGGAATTTTTTTCAAATATACACTCATACTATCGACATATAAAATATTGTAAAAGATTACTAAAAAATAAGTAAACAAGTCAAAATAAAACATGCACCGTCGAAAAAGAAACTTGTAAACGTGAACGTGCTTCTCCATTCCTCTTTCTTCTATTTCTTCATTTTCTACTCGTCCGTCAACTCCTCATCCTCCACTGTCGCGTCCTGATATTGTTGATATTCCGACACCAGGTCGTTCATGTTTGACTCCGCTTCGTTGAATTCCAACTCGTCCATACCTTCACCAGTATACCAGTGCAGGAAAGCTTTCCTTCTGAACATGGCAGAGAACTGTTCAGAAATTCTCTTGAATAATTCTTGAATAGCTGTCGAGTTGCCGATAAAGGTGGCAGACATCTTGAGGCCGCGGGGTGGAATGTCACAGACGGCGGTTTTCACGTTATTTGGTATCCACTCGACAAAGTATGAGCTATTCTTGTTCTGGATGTTGAGCATTTGCTCGTCCACCTCCTTCATGGACATCCTACCTCTGAAGACGGCCGCCACAGTCAGATAACGACCATGACGAGGATCACAAGCTGCCATCATGTTCTTGGAGTCGAACATTTGCTGGGTGAGCTCCGGCACGGAAAGCGCACGGTACTGTTGGCTACCTCGGGACGTAAGTGGCGCGAAACCGGGCATGAAGAAATGTAGTCGGGGAAACGGCACCATGTTTACCGCGAGTTTCCTCAGATCAGCGTTCAGTTGACCGGGAAATCTATTGATGTTTGAAGGAAAGATGTTGGAATGATATTGCAGAAAAGAGAATAACATGATGTAGCGTTTCTGTTATACCGTCCGTTATACTTTCAACTTCTAAAGTAGATAGAATTTCCAATTTCTTATTAAGACGCATAATAATCTGATGTTTTTATCCTACAGACCTTAGACAGGTTGTCACACCGGACATGGTAGCGGAAACCAAGTGATTTAGATCACCGTACGTAGGAGTAGACAGCTTCAGAGTACGGAAACAAATGTCATAAAGGGCTTCGTTGTCGATGCAATAAGCTTGATCAGTGTTCTCCACTAATTGGTAAACCGACAGAGTAGCGTTATAGGGCTCCACAACGGTGTCGGAGACCTTGGGAGAGGGTACTACGGAGAATGTGCTCATGATTCTATCCGGGTACTCTTCTCGGATCTTCGTGATGAGCAGAGTGCCCATTCCGGACCCGGTACCACCTCCCAGCGAGTGTGTGAGTTGAAAACCCTGGAGACAATCGCAGCCTTCCGCCTCTTTTCTCACTACATCGAGCACTGAGTCCACTAACTCGGCACCTTCGGTGTAATGACCCTTGGCCCAGTTATTGCCAGCCCCCGATTGTCCGAATACGAAATTGTCTGGTCGAAATATCTGTCCGAACGATCCTGAGCGCACGGAGTCCATCGTACCGGGCTCGAGATCAATCAGAATCGCGCGAGGCACATATTTCGGTCCAGTGGCTTCACTGTAGTACACGTTGATTCGTTCCAACTGGAGATCCGAATCCCCATGATAGGAACCTGTAGGATCGATGCCGTGCTCATCCGAAATCACCTCCCAAAACTAGGAATTTTGTAAAAATTAATTTATTGCCTGACGAAGATAGAACAGAGAAATAATAACGTCATTGTCAGGAAGATTAATTAACAGTTAATTAAGCATTAATTAACAGGAAGTCTAGAGATCATCTTTATAAAGAATAATAATTTTAATTAATCCATTGTTTAGAAAATTAAATTTTTAATTACGCATTGCTCTCTATTTACGTGTGTATTTATGTGTGTTTTTTTGTGTATGTGTCAATATATATATTTTTAACATAATTATTTAATTTTATTAAGTCTAAGATAAGAATTTGTTTAAATCTAAGATAAGAATTAAATTAAAAAATATTTAAAATAGCAATATTACAAATATTATTTTAATGTTTAAAATACTATAATATGTCGATCGATAAATTTTTATATCTTTACTGACATTATCGTACATATATTTTATTTCTTCGTGAATACTAACCTTGGCTCCAATTTGATTGCCGCATTGACCAGCTTGGATATGAACAATCTCACGCATTTTGTATCCTTTTGAAATTTTAGGGATAATACAGTTTTATGAAGTCCAACGCTGACAAACCTAACGATTGTAAAAGAAATTGGATCCTTCGGGAAATTTAAGAACGAGGGACGAGAATATCGCGGATTTGTCTAAAATGTCATTCAAACAGAAACAGGTGACTAGCAGGTTCCCCTTGGTGACGACAAATATCGATTAAAGCACACTTTAAACAAACCAAAAAAGAAATATAATTTACGTTTAACAGTAAACGTAATTTTCTATACATTATTCTGTCACATACGGTGTAACGGCAGATAATCAATACGAATTTAAAATATCGATCAGCAAGGTTCCACACAGGCGATTATCACAAACCGTTAATAGATACTATTTTATTCAATCTAACTGAAATCATAACAAGACTCCTCTTTAATAACGCAAAAACAAAATGCAAAATCGACATCTAATTGGAAACATAAAAAAAGTATAGCGTAACCTTCTCTAAAAGTCTCACGGATCTCGAGGGCGTTAATTCAACATACATGTACACGCATGCATCGCGACGACAATTGACAGCACTTTCTTACGACACAAGGGAGGGAAACAAGTACCTCACCGTCGACAAACACTGACACACAAGGCAGGTATTACAAAGGAAGTACATTATAATAAATGGAAAAATAAATACAATGCGTGTCTATACTGGTAATTATAATACAACACGTGGTAAGGTGCTAATTAATAAGACTGTCTCTCATTGTCTCATTGCGACTTCTGGCGGCTCACGTTCACCTCCACCACCGCGCTGAACGTCTTCGGCTCGACGCCGGTCTCGACGACGGTCTCGACGAAAGTCTCGTCCGTCGATTCATCTTTGGGTGTACTTAAGTTCTTCGCCCCTTCTTCTTCTTTCGAAGGCAGCACGGCAGCTGGCTTTTCGCCCTCCGGCGTAGTCGCGGCTTCCTGTGTCGCGACCTTCGAGGTAGACGGGCAACTGCCCGGTTTGCCGTTCACCAGAAACCTCAGTGGCACGGACTCGGTCCTGCCTCTCCTAATGCGCCAAGATATTTTGTAAGTAAGAAGAATAAAGAAATTGATTAATTACAATTTGACAGTAGAGTTATAAGATTCTTTATATCGCGAATTGAAATTACGCGAAAATCTGAAAAATAATGTTGATCTTCGTCTTAATTCATTAAAGATTCATAGTCTTCAAGATCTAATAAAAAAATTAATTTTCCTATGTTTAGAAAGGTCGGATTTTTCATCATTGAGACTGCTAACCTCGGTATTGTCGGGCAGGACCATAGTTTGAAGTCAGCCCCGAAGAGCTCACCCTCTTCGATCGTTTGTGGCAAGTGAATGTTGAGCGTCTCCGGTAGGAATACGGACGTAAGTGCACCGGCGACGCTCAATGATCCCATCACGATCAGTGGAAGGACCCTCGAATAGACTGCTAAGTGAACGATGTAGGGAAAGGTAAGAAGGCCGATACCAGCGATGAACGAGGCTATGCCCATCGCTTGGGATCTCAGTACTGTGGGCAGTAGCTCTCCCACAAAGACGTAGAAGACAGCGAAGGAAGCGGCAATGCCGAATTTTCCGATCATCGCCAGACACACCGTCACCCAGACCGCATCTGCTGCGACAAAGGTCGACTGTGTATAGAAAACGAAACGTTGGGATTCGAATTTGTGAAAATCCTTTCCCACAACATAAATTAAATGTTCCTTAAAATAAGAGAGAAGTATTGACATAAATTTTCTCACAATCCCTCTCTCTTCTCTCTCGTGAGAGAAGCAACTGAGTTGGATAGGTTCCGCAATAAATTTGCTTCTGATGAGCAAAGTTACGCGTGCAGTGCGATACTAATTTACTAAGCAGGTCGAACGTTTACTCATGGGGGCCCATGACGTCGGTACAATCGTCGTCAAAACGGTAATTCCCGCTTGCGTTGTGTGATATCACAATCGCTATCATGACGAATTCAATAAGTTAATGACGTTGGGGCCGCCGTGACGCAGAGGCGCGATTCAACTTAATACTTTTATTCAATCCCGCAACTATAATCAAATAATATCAGGATGAGCAACGCGGCGCTATAAGTGATCGTTTGCACTTGTCATCAAAATTGTATTTTTATATATCACTAGAGATGTATATTGTATGTACGTATATTTAATAAAAATGTATTCTAATATGTACTGCTTAACTATCTAAAAATCTAACCAAACATTCGTGAGTAAAGTGTAATAACTTTCAAATACTTAAGTCGAAATATACACGCGTATCCAAAATAATTCCAGCAAACAAATTATTCCAGAAGATAACGTTACTTCGAATGACTTCAAAACTTTAACTTAAAGTAAGACGTAAATCGGCAAAATAGTACCTTCGGGCACGAACATGCAGGACACGCAAGCGATTCCTCCCAACAGCATGGTTAGACACAATACCCATCGCCTACCTAATCGATCCATCGCGTACCACGTGACAACATAAGATGGAATCTCTACGATGCCTCCTATAATAAACGCAAAGAGTCTTTTATTTTTTTAGAATAAAAAAAATTTCTTCTTATTGAAGCATACGAATAACAGATTTAGATTGCATGCATCATCGAGATTAATGCTTTTACCGATAAAGAAGGCCAGATAATCGGAGACACCCAGATTGGTTGCATTATACGATAGGCCGTTGTACACCACCGCGTTCGCCACCCAATCGAAGGCAAGAATAAAAAACTTTTTCCTAATGTTTGGATTCGTGATCAGGTCCATGGGCGTCGCGGATGTCGGTGGCGATCTATTCTCGCCCTCCACATCGATGTTACTCCCGTTGGTGTTTCTACCGTTACACGATATCCCTTGTCTCTTTAATATTTCCACCTGCAAATAACACATTCGTATAGTCTCGTGTGATTCTTCCTCATTCATACACTTACGCTGCTGTCAAGGAAGATATACTGGGAGCATATATATATATACTGAGAAAAATATATTTATTACGTATTATATTTAAAATATAATATATATAATAAATATAAATCCTGATAAAAAAAGGAGAAAACAGGGAATTCGTAAAATGATAATTAAATAGCAGTCACAAGTAGTCATTAGTTATATCGTGAAATTCTCTCTCATACACTTGGGAAAATTGGAATTACCTCCATCTTCCTGAGAAAATTTGTAGGCACTGTCTTGCCATTGACTTTTGCCATGTGTTGGACAATCACCTCCGCCTCGTCTATTCTGTTTTTACTGAGAAGCCACCGCGGTGACTCGGGGATGATCCAGTAATAACTGAAGAGAAGAACAAACGGCACCGACGTGGCTAACGATAGGGTGTACCAGTGCCTTAACAAGTAACCCTGACAGGAGGATAATATAAAAGTATGTACCGATCACATTTAATTGAAATTATTTTCGTATTACACAGACAGATCAATCCCTATCAATACGATTTACTCTAAAATCAGAAAATGAGACAGAGTTCCTGCCATATATTCCAATTATCACTTACAGAAAATTCCTAGAAAATTTACAATAGAAAGAAAACTTGTCATAATATTTTGTAAGTTTTGTATGTTTCTACAATTTTTAATCGTGCTCTCAACTCTACTTAAAGGCCTCGTCAGCACCATTCTCATCAATGCCAAATCTTGTCACAAGTCCCTTGTTACAAGAGCGAATATACAGACATGAGGACTTCATTTAGAATTTATCTGCATGCTCGGTGGCGCGGTGGCGCACGCGCGCGCGTGTCGTTCTGGAGACATCTGAATGCAGAATGTTTCTATTTGCATGCAGCGAACGTGACCGACCACTCGCATTTGCATACGCTCGCTCTGTATGATACACGCTGATGGATCACTTGCAAAATGATCCGCGTTGCACCCTCGCGTTGAATTTATTGTGGGCGCGATCTCTGTTCAGCCACCGCGCGATAACGCGAGTCGCGTCGCGTGATAATGCGAACTTTTGAGATGCCGGCGACGACGAGATTTCTCGCGAAAGGCATGTCGCTCCTTACATATTGCGCTTGCGTATTTTATGAACTACGGCACTTACCAGCAACGCTAGAAGAGACATCGCAGAGGCGAAGAACATACAAATTACCATGCCGGCAAATGTTCGGTATCTCGGTCCCATCAGCTCGAGAGCTGCAATGAAATTCACCATACACGAGTATCATTTTACATCAATTTCAATATTTTTATTTACTGTCGTACTCTTACTGTCGTACTATTATCGACTGAGGACGAAAAAGACTTTCTAGTCTTTCAAATGTATCTTTATTCGCCTTTTAAGCTATTTTAAAATTTTAGAGTATATTTTTATCGGGAATTCGAAGGTGTTGTAGAGCCAATAATTTATGTACGCGTTACGTACCCAGTATGAAAGGTATTTGGTAAATGGCAGGAAAAAAGAGACCATTCACAGTCCTCAGCACCGTGTAAATCACGTAGTTCGGACTGAAGCACGTGGCGATGGAGAGTATCACCTCGAGGAACAGGATAGAAAAGAAGGCCGTCCTTCTGCCCCATTTGTCGGCGATCCATCCGAACACAACGTTCCCGAACAGACTACCGACGTAAAAGAACGTGGTCGACGTGGAAGGCCACCAGCTGTTGTCACATACTAGATCTAGCTATATGGATGTAGAATGCCATTAAACTACTTTGCCAGCGCAAACTGGCACATTGAGACGTAAAAGTACGACAAAACCAACTGTGGTAAATATCAATTAAAAGATATATGCTATCAATATTGTAATAAATGTAAAGTAGATAAATAACAATTTTTAAAATAGAAGTTGTAAAGACAAAAACTAGGAGAAAGTATAAAATAGGAAACGCATCGACGTAACATCGTGTTTACGTCATCCTCACGTGAGGTGTGACAAAACACAATGCATCTTCTTTTATGATAAAAATAAAAAATTATAAAAAATATATGTACGTCATATATCAACATTATTCAATGATAATTGGCTCGAGAGGGACTGGGAGAACGCGTGCTTCAATTAATCTATAAATGACTTCAGGATCTTCGTTGTTTAATCGAGAAGTGCTGTTGTGACCGACAACAATGTCGAGTGGGGAAGCTGAAATAAGGCCACCACCATCAACAAACGAGATTATAAATATCGACTGTACGGAGACTTAAGAGGGTGATATCGCGGTAGCCCGAAGAAGTCATTGCACCGACCAAAGCGTTATCGTTCTTCCTACATAGGCATGTGTCCGCGATGCGCAATGCGCAATGTGACACACGGCAATTACGGCCGTCGCGAGACTGTCCGCGGTTTTAATGACCCGCCAGCTATCCGAGGTCTTACAGGAATTTGCGATTGACACGTTTCGTAAGATTTGCACCAATTGTATAAGAATACGAAATACTGCAAATCGAGGATATTTATGCACTCATCCAAATTAATGAAAAAAGCCTTTAAAAACGAAATGGAACTCTGACACAAACGTAGAAATGCAGCGAGATCGATATGTTATGATAATTTAAACATTTCTCCTTAACAAAAGTTTAAATTGGGGTACGAATAGACGATTATTTATTGCAGTACTTGAAAAAAAAATCTACAAGAATTTCAAATTGAGCGTTAAGTATGTAAATGGAAAATGCTTTGTGATAATTTGTATAATGATTTACGGATAATTTTAATTTGACTTCAGAACATAATATTTCCCAGACGCTCAATAAATTAAAATTTCAAAGGATATTACCCGCGAAATTTCTGTCAGAGATAGTTCGAAGATCCGTCTGTGTTTATCGTGGCATTTGACGCTGAGATTTAGCAGCAATTGTCACAAAGCACCCTGTATAACCGCACGGCAGCGTACGTGCGGCGCTATATTAGTGACAAACCGGAGTGCGTGCTCGCACACGTGTGAATACACGCGTCATCGTCACTCGGCCGATCGTCATTTGTTCGTCAATCCAGCATCGGCGACACAGCGCGCGTACGCTGAAGAATGGAGCAACGAAGGGAAGCTGAGAGAGAGAAAGAGAAAGAGGGAGAGATGTTGCTGGACTCGTGCAATGGTGGGGGCGTTTCATCTCGTTGCGTTTACGTAGGAGGCTGTCGACGTAAACGCGCTCGTGTTTATCGCGCGAGCGGAGGGCACGCACGTGTATGTATGCGAGTCATACGAAGCTTTGTATGTAAATCGCAAGCTCATATGCGACTGCACGTGTATGCGCGCATCCGAAGGCCCCTAAGGTGTATTGGTAAGCTCCCACAGTGAGAGGTGTCCATCACCCTCATTTGACAGGAGGAACCCGATCCCTTCCCCCTCTTTGCGCCCTTTAAAGCCCCCTTCTCTTACGATCTTTCTCTCTCTCTCTCTCTCTCTCTCTCTCTCTCTCTCTCTCTCTCTCTCTCTCTCTCT